CAGAGAACGGACGTGATTTTGGCGGTCCTGCTCCAGATGTCCTTGCCCAGACCAGTCAGCTTCAAGATCCAGACAACATAGAGTATCTTGCCCCTTCGATTCAGCCCTCACCAGTGGGACTGGAAGCAACCATATACCAATGCTTGCGCAAAGTATTACGACCAGATGCTTTTAAAGCAGCTAAAGCAGCTTAGACCTCGAAATGGGGCGGATCCGGATCCAACTTTTGGATCCTGATCCTGATCCGCCGGATTTCCGGATCGAAGAACTCGATCCGGATCCGCACCGCGGTTCTAGGCAGGGCGGATTAGGATCAATCCGTTTAGATCCTAATTTACATAAAATTTGCCAAGACCCCCTTTTTTGGCTGGATAAATTGATGATTCATCGAAATAAAATACTGTTATATACACCTGTTTTGGTCAGTGCATTCACTATTCTTAAGATGCAGCAAGTTTTTGATTGAAATTTTGTGTTTTGAACCTCTGTATAAATTATGTTACCTTATCGAATGTAAATAATACTAGTCTTAATATCATTTCAGAACTTGGTTGTTAGTAATTTATTAAGGTAAGGCTGAGGTGTCGTAATAGAGTGGGAAATATATATTCTCTCCTGAGTACCACACCACTATCTTTCATAACTTCTCTTTGAACCATTTCGAAAGGCAGCCTTCTGGAATAGTTAAGTCTTTTTAATTAATCAGTTCATGAATTAAGGTTTTTCTTTCTTTCTTTGTTCTCAAAAAGTGGTTCCTGCCGAAAACCCCATCTATAAAGCCTACAGAGCATACTTTGGATGGTAGACTTAGGCAAATTCAAGCCTGCTAAAAGGATTCAGGGGGCGGGGCGGGGCGGATCAGTCAGGATTTCCCTAGGGGCGGATCAGGATCAATCCGTTGAGATCCGTTCTTCTGTGGGTCCTTTTGGGGCTTAAAGCCAATCATATAGTAGAGATAGGTCCCCCTAGTCCAGATTATGATAGATGTATCTACAACTCCGTTCAGCTTGCGCTCCTAGTCGCGTCCTTTTAATTTTCCTACTTTCTCTCTTCTTTACTCCCTGTAAGTCTCACTTCTTTTGAAAGCTGGTAGTAAGGCTTACTTATTCACTATGTCGCAAAGTCAAGCCTCTCAATTCTCAGACACCTACCCTTCATCTATCTTTGAGGATAATTCTCTAGATAACCTTTCATATCTTCCTTCCGACGGTACAACGTCTTTTACCCCTGACTCCCTATTTCAGCAGACACCTAACCCTACACCCGACGGCGGATTCGCTCGACCATTAATATCACCCCCTATTCCACAGACCCTAGAACGTGTTGGGCCTACCGCAAAGCAGAAGCCCTTTATACTCTGGACTGAGGAGATGAATGATGAATTTTGTGGGTGGTGGTTGATGACGGAGTTTGGAAGTCAGATGAAAAGGAATGTTTTTGAGAAACGACGCCAAGCGGACTGTTGGAACCACTTCCATCAGGTTGCTACTATCCAAGATGGGTCTCCTAAGGTCATGTGTAAAGTATGCGGCCAGGTTATTATCCACCCAGCGGTCGGAAATCGCGGAACGTCCTCCCTGAATAAACATGTCAGAGAGGGTGTCAACTGCCGGAGATCGAAACCCTCACAGGATATTCGAAAGCTTCTTCAATCAGGGGTATGTTAGATGTGTATATTACTCCTTTGATTCCCCAATAAAATTAATTTATCTTAGGGATCCCATAGCCGTCAACCGGAGAGCTTTACACTCAAGGAATTCGATGAGAGTGTGATTTCTCTAATCACTGAGTTACGACTCCCATTTCAGTTTGTTGAACATCCTCGGTTTCATAAACTAGTTCAACTGGCTAGTCTCGCTCCATCTCCGCCTCGGATTTTATCTGCATATCTAGTACGGCAGAAGGTTCAGGCGAAAGTGATAGAACGCCAAAAGAGCCTTCTACAGATGCTTCCATCAGGTGCAAAGCTTTCTATTGCATTAGACTGCTGGACCTCGCCCTTCCGCCAGGCCTTTATGGCTATTACTGGGTATTTTATTGATATAGACTGGCACTACCGTGAGATCTTGCTTGGATTTGAGCCACTTCATGGCAGCCATAAAGGTTCCGACCTTAGTGTTGTTCTCTTGGATCTTCTTAGAAAACATCAGATCGAAGATCGGGTTTTGACAATGACCACTGATAACGCATCAAATAACACTACGCTCCACGACAGTATCAATGAAGCTCTTGATACACTCGCGTTACCAGATGGCACCCCTATTGTTCGAATACCCTGTATGGCCCATGTTATCCAACTCAGTTTAAACGAGCTTCTTGGCAAGATGGAAGCAATCCCAAAGAATGACCGAGAGGAAATAGAATGGACGGAAACTGAGGCCCGGAGTGAAGCCCAGAGGGAGAATAAAGATATCGTGCTTACTCTTAATAAGGTAAGAAAGCCCCTCATTTTATCTTGTTAAGTACTAATATCAACCTAGGTTCGGCGACTAGCAGTCTGGGTTAATAGAAGCCCTCAGCGCAGAGAGCAATTCCTCGAGCTCCAGCCCAAAGAACCAAGGCTTGTTCTGATGCAGGACGTCAAAACCCGCTGGAATTCCACATTTTTGATGCTTCAGCGTGCCAAAAAACTACAGACTATCTGCGACAAGTATTGCACTGAGTGTGGTCTCTCTGACCTTGTGCTTACTCACAACGAATGGAAGCAGATTGACTATCTTCTTTCTATCACACAGCCCTTCTTCAACTTCACTAGTGTTCTCTCAAAGACTAAGGATGTCACTATCCACATAGTCTTTAGTATCTACAATCAACTATTTGACCATCTCGAGAAGTCTACAACCCAGCTTAGACGAAAGAAAGCAAGGTGGCAGATGACAATGCAAACTGCTCTCGAGTATGCAACACAGAAACTAAGACACTATTATGCTGAGACCGATCAGGCCTATGGTGATCTCTATGCAATCGCTACTATTATGGCACCCCAGAACAAGCTTGATTTCTTCTCTGGGAAGGACTGGAGGGGCCCTTATCGCAAAGAATACCGTGAGAGTCTTGAGAAATACCTTGAGCCATATAAGCAACGTCACTTAGAAACACAACCAACATCACATGGGGTGTCTTCTGCGGAGCAGTTCTCCATAGTTGATCAGATGGGTGACAGACAGAAAGTCCAGGGATCTGAGATTAACCAAGATGATGAGCTTACACAATATCTTGGAAGTGGTGAGTAACTCACTATTTAGTATCTTTTATAATCACTTACTAATCCTTTACTAGGTACTCGCAAGATTAATCCATGTGTTTTTTGGAAGAGTAATCAATGTGAGTTCCCAGCCCTTGCTAGCCTTGCACGGGATGTCCTTTCTGTTCCTGCGACTGGTTCCGGTGTTGAACGACTATTTAACACGGCTCGTGATATCTGTCATTATCGCCGAGGGTCTCTCAAATCGACAACTATCCAAGATCTTATGATGTACTTATGTACATTGAGGTTCGACATCGAAAGTGAGCAGCATACTTTCATAGAGGAGTATCTTACAGCACAGGAGATGCAAGTAGTGAAGGAGAAAAAGAAGACTGAGAGACTGGATGATGATATGTTTGATCTAATCAGTGATACTGAAGAAGATCCCTCAGCTAAGACGCAACCATCGCAGCCCCCGAGTAGGGTTGCGCTTGGCAAGAGACCTCTCAGAGATAATACAACTCTGATTGAGCTTGGAGACGAGGACGAGGAGGATCAAATCCCGCTACCTGATAATTCAAATCTGCAGGATGAAGGTGGTACTCAGAGGCGCACATCAGGGCGAGTGACAAAGCGTTCAAAGTGGGATGATGGTGAATGGGAGTATATAAAACCTTAGATTTAATGGAATTAGAGAGACCTAGTATACTTTTAACCCGATCTAAATACTCTTTTTGCTAACCTGTAAGCTAAATACTTAAAGTACAGCCGAAATGTACATGAATTATGCATATCACAGGACTTCCTATGTTTGTCCTATTTGTTAACCCGGCGGATCAATCCGCCCCGTACAGCGCGGATCAAAGATTTATAGAACCGCCCCGCGGATCGAAGAATTAGATCCGGATCCGCCCCAAAGGCGGATCGGGGCGGATCCGGATACAGATCAGAACGGATCCTTTCGAGGTCTAAAGCAGCTTTCATTCCACCAGATATGGAACAAGTGCTGGAAAAGAACAATTTGCCTTAGCTAGGATCTATTCTCATGAAATTCTGTAGTGAGTTGACAACTTCGTTCTGGTATTTGGCTACATAGCTCATACTGACTTGTGCTGGTATGATACAGTACCCTAGTATGATACGATACCTCCGACACTAGACCGCTCACAAATCAAAAAGCACAGTGATTACTGTCTTGGTTCCCGATCTTTGACCTGCCCCTGTCCTGCAGCAGGATGATTCATCACCAAGCCAGATCATCATTTTATTGGTCGGATAGCCAATGCCGGGGTTGATCTTTAGTCTTTAAAAAATCGAAAAGACTCAATATTTGGCCATTCAAAATAGGATCAATATGCGGTCTCCCAAATTTTTGGCGGTCTTTCCTGATCTACCACTTGAGTCATAAGCATTATCAAGAACTTCCGAGGTATTCATGAAAACCAGAATAAGACCTCGCAATATATCTTTTTGTTGGTGAACCCAGTTGTGTCAATAGTAAGGCCCTCTGGGGTTTTCACAAAAGTCACATCAAGAAAATCACAAAGGTTCTGGTAATTAATTTCCTCGAATTAATTTCCTCGGCACAAGGTCGGCGAATTGGGCACGATTGTCGTATAGACATGAAGCACAATTTCAGATTTGCGATATCAAGAATACTGCCATGCTAAGTATGAAACAGTCTATGCAGCGTTAACCTACAAGCAAATATAAGTTTGCCTCTGACGGGACAGAAAGTTTTGGTAGTCTTAGAACACGGGAGCCCCGGTGGCGAGTGAAGGCTACCAATGAGCTGCACCCACACCGCCGCGTGCTAGGGCAAGAGAATATTCGAATAGAGCTCGTCTACCGTTTCTGTCCAGCGTTCTGGATACATGCGTCTTTTAAGCCATAAGTTCTCGAGCAGCTCAAGGCTTTTGTCGACATTCCTGAAGCCGAACCGTTTGAGATGTTCCATTGTTTCACGAACGTACTTCTGTTCATCCTCTTTTCGGGTTTCCTGGCCAGCAATGAAGAGTGGCCGTAAGACATCTAACTGGCCTGTATCTTTTGACAGGAAGCGAATTAATGACAAGATACGAGTGATTGTCTTATCTAAGCAAGTCCGGCCAAACCCGAAGTTTACCCGACCAGCTCGATTTACTTGGTGCAGGTGGACAATTGTCGCTTTTTCGTACGCTTCAAGGCGCCCAGCGTACTCCAACATACCGGAGAATGGGAACTGGACAAGATGTTCGTCGTCTGGTTTCATATCTCCAAGAATCTGCAGGATCAATGGGGCGCTGGCTCGCCAGATGATGAGTCGATTTAAAATTTTCCTGAAAATCATGTCTTGTTCATCTGATGACATCCACCTTTTGTCGTCAGCGAACCTGCTGATAGAAACTTGAACCTCCATCATATTCGACCAGGCTGCACGAAGCTCCCGCAAAGCCGGATCGTCGCGGATACCCACCAAGCTCGGAGTGCCGAGGTTGTACTCCCATCCACTTTTTAGAGCCTTCCAATAAGTGCCATTCACCACGGTACCTCCGGGTCTTGTACGTGCACCAGCAACATCAAGATATGAGAATAAGGACACAAGAAATGGTCGCAGGGGATGTCTAAGTTCGGTAGCTCGTTGAGCCTCACGTTCAAAAGTGCCGGTGTGTGGGGAGAAAAGAAGATTGTAGATTTCGTGTGCACCGTTGAGATGTAAAGCCCAGTTCTGATGCTGCGAGTCCATCATCTGCATCACAGTCAGTGCTGTGTTCGAAGCATCTCTCAAATCCGAAAACGCACTTCGAACAGACACAGCAATAGACAGGTCGCAAATTCGCTTATCCCGAGATGCGCCATAGGTGAAGAAAAATGGGCCCGTAACATACGCACAACCTCGCTGTATTTGCTCAAAGCCCTCTGAAAATGATGGTTTTGCTGCATAACGGCCGCGGTGTTTGCCAAATGTAAAGCTCCCAAGGCGTTCATGGCGCCAGCAACCAGTGGAGAAGAGATTACTAAGTCGGGAAAGTGACTGCGGTAAGGGTTCGCGAAACGGGAATCCTTATTTCTTAAAAGGAGGGTCGAAACTTCATCGATGAAATATGTTATGTACTGCTCATCCGTACAGTGCATAATCGGGATGATTACTTTGCTGGGACACGAAGATTGCTGAGAGCTGAAACATATTTGTTCTTGTGGTGGTGGTGGTGGTGGAGGAGTGATCCTTGATGGCGATACCATAGCCAGCAAGGCATCGTCCCGTTCCGCCTTGTCGATAACGATCATCTCCGAATTTGATTTGCCTGATGAAGGAGAAATACTGATTTTGTCCCGTTTCCAAGGCCACTTGTGTGAGCCTTTAGTCTGTGGTAAGCCGTAAATCGAGAAGATGGTTCGTTCTTGTGTCGCATCACACTTGAGCCCTCGACGTGTGCAATTATTGCAAATCGGCATAGTCTCATCACAGCGAACACGGCGGTGGCGACAGATTGAGCAGCCTGTAAAAACTCGGTGGTGCCAGCGGCGAACACGTTTACGAGGCGGTGCGGCGAACAACTCGTTCGCTGGCGCGTCCACGTTTCGGGGGTTCATGGAGGAAGGAAAGACTCAAAAGGAGGATACATGAACGCAAACTATGAAGCTTGTCAGTCAAAGCATGGAAAGTGAACTCAATCAGTTAAATTCGACGAGGCGGTCGAGGGTAGCTGGATTCGTTTGTTGAGTTGAAGATACAGTACCCGAGTGGATTGGGATCTCACGAGACCGGCTTATTCTTCGTCCGTCCCCAATGACGTAATTTCCGGACAACACACGGTCCCTGTTGAGATAAGTGATAGTCTGATTGATTCTTATTGATTGACTTAAGGAGTTGTTCTTTACAGGGGCGGGATGCCTCATATATATCACTCCCCAATCCCTGCAGTAAGGTTCAGCCACCGTGATACTCAACACTCCCACTCGATGGCAACCACAGTCGAGAGTGCCAGCGACCATCCATCACGTTGTGAAGGGCCCCGTTAAAACCTTCAAAGAAAACCCCCTTCAAAGGAAAAGAAGGAAAGGGTACCCGTGCGACTTAGTTTCTGGCCGAGATCTGTCAGGCGGGTGGTGTCACTCAATGCCAAGCCCTCTGCGAAACCATTCAAAACGTTCTCGCGCAAGAGGCTTCGTGAAACCATCGGCAATTTGCTCAGCAGTCGGAATGTATTTCAGCTCCACTGTTCCAAGGTCTTGGACCTCTCCTTGCCACTTGCGTTGGATTTCCATGTGCTTCGTGCGGGAATGGTATTGCGGGTTCGAGGACAGGGCGATTGCTCCTTGGTTGTCACCGTAAATAATCGTTGCGGTTTTTCCTTGACTCATGTTCAACTCATTGAGAAGTCTTCTCAACCAGATTGCTTCTTTGGTTGCTTGCGTCTGGCCTAGAAATTCAGCTTCACAGGTTGAAAGGGCAACGACACTTTGACGCTTCGATTGCCAACTAATTGCTCCACTTCCGAGATTGAAGAGATATCCAGCTGTTGACCGTCTGGTGTCGCGGCATCCACCCCAGTCTGCGTCTGTGAAGCCTTTCAGCATCTGGTGATGACCCTTGTACGTGAGCCTGAGGGTTTTTGTGCCGTTGAGATATCGCAGGAGGCGTCGAGCGAGTTTCATGTGTTGTGGTCCAGGATTTGCGAGATGCCTGCTCGCCACAGAGACCGCATACGCGATGTCCCCCCTGGTTCCAAGCATAATATACATCAGAGATCCGACAAGGCGTTGGTAGATGGTCCTTTGATCCGGAGGACATCTGTATTCTGGGCTATTCTCAAGAAGTGGCGAGGTTTCTATCGGTGTGCTGACGGGAGTGCTGTTGTTGATTCCGAACTCACGAGCGATCTTATCAATATACGCTTCTTGACTCAGGTACATTGTCCTGTTTTGACGGTCTCGCTGGGCGGACATCCCGAGATAGTAGCTACACGATCCGAGATCGGTCATTTGAAAACGGTTTCTGAGGCTCCGTTTGATCTTCTTTATTTCCGCAATGCTTGGTCCCACGATCAAGAGGTCATCGACGTACACTGCGATGTACATATTGCTCCGGACGAAGATCCCAAGATCAGCGCTGATTGGCTCGAAGCCAAGATTCCGTAGGAAATTTGTGAGGGTCTGATACCAGATCCGAGGAGCTTGTTTTAGGCCATAGAGTGCCTTTCGAAGCTTGCAGACCCTTGATGTGCCGTCGGTCATGTGGTGAGGCTGTTCGACGTAGATTTCGTAGTCTATGTAACCGTACAGAAACGCCGTTTTGACATCCATTTGCTCGATCTCTAAATCCAGCGCTGCCGCGATTGCGAATAGAGCCTTGTAGCTCATTGGCTTGACAACTGAGGCAAAAGTTTCGTCATAGTCGACACCCTCTTCTTGTGTAAAGCCTCTCACTACCCATCGGCTTTTGTGACGGATGACTTCGCCATGCGGTCCTCGTTTGAGTTTGAAGACCCATTTTCCGCTGAGAATCCGGCGATCTTTGGGAGGATCAACAAGCTCCCACGTTTTGTTTTGGTTGAGCGAGTTCACTTCGTCAAGCATTGCTCTTTCCCATTCGAGCCAGCTTGCGTCGTTCTTTGCTTGTTGAAGAGTCTTTGGCTCAAAGGGTTCGGTTTCCTCTGCAGCCAACGTTAAGAATGTTGGGATGATCTTCTCTTCAGGTACACTCATTAACGCAAGCTCTTCTTCGCTGTCACTAAAAGTGTCTAGTGTGACCTGTGGAGCGCGAATTTGGAGTTCAGGGTGGTGTTCTAGTACTTCTTGTCGCACTTCATGAACTGGGCGGTCAAGTTGGAGTTCTGGATATCGTTGCCATTCTCCTGAAACTAGACCTTGTTGAGCGTCGTCTTGTTGCTGGTCGCCGCCGGGTGGTAAGTCATTCCTTTGAATGATGTCTTGTAAATCATCTGCAAATGGTCCAAAAGTATCATCACTCCGTGTGGGCGACAAGGTCCTGTCTCCCTCTACAGCAACAGGTGGCTGCGAGTCATCGTCACTCGACTGGGTTAGCACTCGTGAGTTATCGTCACTCGATCGAGGCAGTGTGTGCGAGATATCGTTCCTCGACTTAGGTAGGGCTCGCTCTGGTGGTGCCATCGACAACTGGCGCCCAGAGGCGGGCACGGATGCTTGCCGTATGCCTACCGACTGTTGATTTAATAGTCCCACCGTCTCACTCCCCCCTGCGGCAGCAGCCGTTGCCTCAGGTGAGCCGTCTCGTCTGGCTCCCACATCTTCTATAGTCTGTGTGGAAGGAGCTGTAAGGACTTCGTGAAATTCAGCATTTGGGGTCCCAATGATTCTTCCATCTTCCAGCAGGATACGGTAGTTGGTATTTCCCTCATAGCCTAGTAGAATGCATGGCCTGGTTCTTGGCTCTGTGAGCTTCTTCCTCTGCTTGGGTGGGATCAAGTATTCCCCTTTGGATCCGATCACCCTGAGTCGTGATAGGTCCGGCTTGTCACCGAACCAAGTTTGATACGGAGTCATGTTGATCTTCGATGACGGCGACCGATTGGAGAGGAAGGCTGCGGTTCGAGCAATTTCTGGCCAGAATTTTGATGCCAGTCTCGCGTGTGCTAGTGTAGGCCCAACCCGATCATAAATTGTCTTATGGGCTCTCTCGGCAACCCCATTCTGCTGGTGCTGATCAACGCCTGTAACCTCGGCATGGATTGCCCGCGAGAACAGTATGAACTTCATCTCTTCTCCCACTTGCTCAGGGATCCGGTCGAGGCGTATTCGTCTACATTTTCGTTCAGGGCGTTCGTTATGATCAAGAAAGAACCGTAGTGATTCCACAACAAATTCTTGTCGTCGTGGTATAGGGATAATCTCTATCCACCCCGTGAAGTCGTCGACGATGGTAAGCCAATAGCGACTGCCATCAAGGCCCTCGTCAAATGGCCCTGCAACGTCAATATGGAGGAGTTCCATTGCATATTCCCCTCTTCTGCTCCGTCCTGACTGGTTGTGGGGCTTTTCAATCATTCGTCCCTGGAGGCATGGATTGCATGGCTGACGTGGTTCCGTATCCCGGATGCCGTGGGCCTGTCTCTTAAGCCGTTGTAGGTTCGCATCGCTCAGGTGAGCCAGCCGGTTATGCCAAAGAGCCATTTGTGGACTGACATGGTAAGAGGGAAAAGTGAGATTCGTCCATAGATCAAGTGCGTAGACTCCGTGATACTGGCTGGCAGTGTATAGGTTCTTTCCGTTTGACTTGTTGCGAATACTAGCACCTTGACTCGAGAATTCGACTTTTGCTGCTCGGTTGAGAAGTTGGAGCACTGATATGAGGTTTGCGTGTGCGGATGGGACGTAGAGGACATTATCAAGCACAAGCCATTTCCTTCTTCCCCGTACATTGCACAGAACATTGACTGTTCCCACCCCCGAGGGAGTCGTGGAGGTATCGACGCTTCTCAGCGGTGGTCCATGGTACTTGTCCATCTGTACAAATCTCGAGGCGTTGTTGCAGACATGCTGAGCACATCCACTGTCGACGATCCACGCGTCACGGATCGACAAGGTTTTGGTAGCCATCATTGTGGGGATGTGGTCGAACAAGGCAAAGTTGCCTTCAACATCCTTTCCGAATGCTTTATTGACATCTTCTCCGGGGACTTTTGTCGCCATGAAGGTGGGCTTCTTTGGATCCCTTGGGCCACCAACACCGTCATCATCGTCGTCATCCGTGGAGGGCCGCCGCTTCAACGGCTTGCGTGCGCCTGTATGTGAATTACCTCGCTTTGACTTCTGGCTCTTTCCATCTTTCTTCTGATCCCTCGGTCTGGGGTTCTTGCTGAAGCACTCAGAGTCCACGTGATAAGGTTTCTGGCAGAAGGAGCAGTATGGGACGTTATCGATCTCGATTCGACATGTCGTTCCGTCAGGTGACGGTATGACTTTCTTGTCGCCTGGCTCTCGGATTACAGCAAGAGCAGGAAGTGCTTGCGCTTCGGTTGGTTGTTTGCTCAATTGCCCCTTCCTATGTTCTTCCTCAATTGCCTCGTTCTCGATGTAGTCGAACGTGGGCGCCGCTTTCGTGATGTTACCATTGGCATCTCTTTCATTAACAAGATCCATTTGCCGAAATATATGATCACGGAAGCTTTCATACTCGGCACCTAATGCGTGCACGAAAAAGAATGTTCGCTCAATCTCGGAGGTCACGCAGTCAGGGTCAAGGAGAAGTTTCTCGGCATGGATCTTCCTGATCTCGGCTCCGAGGGCTTGGGCGCTTCCACATT